GAAAATGGGAAGAGATGGATAGGCTGAACCTCTTTGATTCGTGCTGATTCTTGTTTTCATGAGAGGCAGTGGGGTGCAGTGTCAGAGAGATCTGGGTCTAAATTCTGGCTCCATCAAATACTAACTTGGTTCTCTCTGGCCTCTCTCTCTTTTTTGCTATGTTGAGTTTAGGTGAGTTAGCTACAGAGTTTCCTAATTCATAAAAGTAACTCAGTAGTTTCTCTTCTTCTCTCCTTTCCTTCTTCTGACTAGTGGCACAATCTGTGGGGTTTCTCAGTTAATTTGTTATAATATTTATTATAACCTGTGAAAATCAGTTGCATTCAAGAGCATGGAAAACTAGATACATTTTTAAAACTATTCTTCTGGAGATCTTAACTTGAAAAAACAACAACACACAGATTAACAAAAGATTGACTCAGTTATTAAAATTCTATGGCTTTTAATGCCAGTTTATTAAGTTACATCTATTAAATACATCAATACATACATTTCATTCACAGAGATTGGAATTGACACAGTAGTGTCTGAAGACATGGGCTGCATACCAGTGAAGTACATATCTAACGACATACAATATGCAGTTTACTTTGGGAGTGTGACGTTTTAACATAAAACATAAAATCAATGAAAGCACATGGGGCTTATCACTAAAACCACACAAACATGTACATTTGTTTAATCTCTACACCCCTGAAACAAAAGAGGGGAAAGTTACACATTGGAATGACTTTAAGAATAAAATCATTTGATTAAGTTCAGCTACTTTATTTACTCGAAACTGTGTGTCTCCTTCCTCCTGAATATGTGCACCATGAGAGTGGTACTTGCCTGTCGTGTTCCCTCTTGTCTTATCTCTCCAGCCTCTTTGTAAGTGCTACTATGTGAATGATCAAAAAACACACACAAAAAACCCCAAAACTGATTCATGCATGAAATGGAAAGACTGCTGGGCTCGCAGTTAGGAGGTATGGATTCTAGTCTCAACACTGCTACTAGCTACTGTCTGGCATTGGGCTGTTTGTAGCATCTTTCTGAGCCCGAAGACATCCTTAAAATGATGTAAGTTAGAGCAGATAAACTCTACTGATTGCATCAGTTCTAAAACTCCATGACAATCTCTATTGGCCAAGATCTCAGAGTTACTTTGTGTTGGATACTCTCCGAACGAGTGGGAAATGGCACCTACTTCCAGGCTGGAAGCCACTGAACTCCACAAGGCCTCCCAGGTTCTTAATGATCAAATAGAACACACAGAAGTTAAACAATGGCATAGTCATAGATTTGGAAAAAAAAATCCCAGATATCATTTGGTTCAATTCCTCCGCCTCCCTCAATGAAGAAATGGCTTCTATAAAACCCTTGAGCTAAGCCCTTTGCTTGAATATCTCCAGGGACTGAGAAGTCACTACTAATATCTGGGGATATTCTGGTGTGGGATAGAAAATTTCTTTGGTTATCAAGCCATAAATGGAGACCCTGTAACTGCAACTCAGTCGCCCCAACGCCTTCCTCCAGAGACACGTAGAAGAAGTCTCCTCTTTCCTTCTACATCATCCCATTATCTCCTTCCAATTTCTCTGCCTGTCATTAGAATGAATACTATTTTATTTGCTAAGAGCAGATGGTAACTGGATGTGCCTAGTCTTCTGACTCAGATTCACGAAGATGGTATTCTAGCTCTAGATCTGCCATTAACTCCTTGTGTGGCCTGACAAGTAACTTCAGTCTTGGCTGGTATGGTCTTTTCTTCTTAAAGTGGGGTGATGTAAGGAGTTGGGGGCAAATGTGTCTCAGATCTTGGGAAGTTGTAACTATGGTTGTTGGAGTGGGGCAGGGCACAGATGTGACTGCTCTGCCCCATACTCTGTCACCACTGGAGCAAAAGGACTCGGGGGTTAACAGTCCACTGCTTTCTCCTCAGGCCCAGCTGCCAATGTGATGTAATAGCTGTTAATATACAGGCTAGTGATGCACACTTAAATAAACATTCTGCTAAAAATGGCAAAACACTTCCAGGACTCTGGGTTCTAAGAGAGCAAGAAATCTTAGAACAAGAGGGTTCTGCATGTGTTTTGCAAGGTGTGGAGTATAAACTACTCTGTCCTGAAGAATTAATCCCCAATGTCACAATCATGGAAACACGACTGGGAAAGGACTTGGGAAATACCTCGCAAGGGAACTTTGGCAGCAGGCATGCCTGTGCACAGGGAGCTGGTTGAACTTTTATAACCCAGCGGAGTTATTGACAAGCACAGAGGTGGAATTTCCTCTGGGGGTGACGTAGCTTAAATTGAAATGGAGCCAAGGGCTTTGGCATGCCTGTTACTGAACTGAACCAGACACTTTTCAGGATGTGAAAGGTGCATCTTTTCACATTCTACTATAGCCGAGTTAAAAGAGTCAGAAATTTTAGTACCTTAAACAATTCTGTTCTCTCACATAGATCTGAACCATGCTAGGGTCCTAATGTTGGTGACCCCATGCATTTTGATCATGACTCCTGGATTTGCTGAGGGACACATGCACCTCTGGGTCATCCATAAAGTTCTAGTATTTTCAAGAATGTTGCTGGCCATACTTGATAATAACTTCTCTCCACATTTGGCTTTGATAATGGATGCCACTATAGAAAACAGTAACTTTGTCTTCTCCCCTTTTATTTATGGAAATATGTCCTTGGGTAGCTATTTAAAAAATCACTTATTGTATACACAAATCATGTTGTTAATGATCATCCTTCACCAAATGGCACCCATTTTCATAATGAGAAAATATCCATGTGCCTAAAGTTAGCTAATTAATTAGCTAATACAACCAAAATAAATGAACAGATCTACAGACAATGGAAGTACTAAGCAGTTAGAATGAACACATCGGAGACTAAAATAATTTATCTTTGTGTCTCCAGGATGAGTGGGTACTCAGTAAATGTGGAATTGATTTGAAGTTAGCCTTTTGCGAGACACTGAACCAGCAAAGCACTTTCCCCCTAAATTAACCATTTTCTGAAGCATGTGCGCATATTCTTTTGGAACATTCTGGCCCTTCGAATGCACTCCTTGTACTCTTTTTAGGGGACTATCACATGGTCTTAAAAAGCATCTCCCACTTGATTTTAAAAACAAGGGCACAAATATTTGCCATGGAAATAATGCCTAGGACTCGAGTCCTACTAGGAATGTTTGACTGGGCCTTTCTGACCAGTAAAAGCTGTATCATAGGACATTTAATAAATTCAATCATGAAAACTTGAGCACAATACATTCTTCAGTAAATGAGCTTAGGATGGGAGCAAAATAAATATGTGGTAGGATCTTTCCAAAGCTTCAAGTCTTTTAGGATAGTAGGAAATTCCAATTTTTTGAATAAACTTCCAAATCCACCAGCTGCCCAATGGAACAGTGGGTGGGTTTGAGGACCCTGGGCACAGGGGTCCTTCTAGTGGAGAAGAGGAGTAGGCCACCCTGGCCTCCTCCATGCAAATTCTTGCCCATTCCCCAGGTCGCTTGGTGCTCTCATGCAGATGCAGACAGAGCATTTTATTTTCTTAATGGGGTGTTAGTTCTGATCGTGGAGCCAGTGAGACCCATTGATGAAACATTCGTGATCCACCCATAAATGTTGTACCAGGAGTTGATTGAGGAAACATTCACTAATCAAGCTGGCTTTATAGTTACTGAGAAACCTCTCCGTTCTGCTTTAAGGAAAGGGTAATTCCTCCATCTGAGATGCCCTTTCTCCAAGGCCATCTGTCGTCCGCCCACCTTCTTTCAGAACTCACTTCCTTCATGAAGACGCTTCTGAACCAGGTGGAGGTGACCACACCCTTGTCCGTGCTCCCACTGAGCCCTGTGCTCATTGTTTTGAGAAGCTGAAGGCTTTGGAGCCTTAACCTCCCAACTGAGAAATGGAATTTTTGTTTAATTATAACTCAACAAATATTGGTCAAGTACTGCTGCACCAATCATTGTGCTCAGGAGCCCCGTCCCACCCCTCTGTCCTCTGTAGTCTCCTGGCAACAAGGGGAAGAGTTGATTTTGGTGCCAGGTTTGCTTCCAGACCCATTGTGAGGTATCCTCCATAGGGAGCATTTATAATAGAGTCTGAAGTGCCATGTCACACTGCCATGCTCCCACGTGACACTGACATGCTCTCCTACTTCACAGAATGCTCAAAGTTAACAAGTTTCATCCCCATGGACTCATTTGATACTGGGAAGTAAGTTGGTGGATTCTTGCTTTACAGACAAGCCTCAATGTCCAGCCTCTCCTCCAGGGAAGAAGTCTTAGCTGAGCTGATTAGCTAATTGCATATTTAAATCCCTTAGACTATTTTAAGAGACAAATACCCACATAACACTGAGGTTGTGAATCAAAATTCAAAGCGGATCTAGGTTAACTTTTCCAGATTTGGAGATTGACCCTTCCCCCCCGCAAGAGAATAAGTCCATTGTCTCCTGACACCAGTCAAGTTTGTTGTACAGTTGGTCTAATTAGCTAGAAATCTGACTTCAAGTTTCTTGAGTTACCTAATCAGCTGGACAGCTTACATAGCCAGGAGCGCTCCAGAAATCTTGCTGTCAGATGATATGTTTTTTAGGCTTGGAGTTAGTCCTTGGTGCATGTTGAGACACATTTGACCAGGAGCCATCTAGTGACATTCATATAAGTTTTTAGTAGAGTTGGACTTGTTCATAGTGTCTTCTGGGTAAAGATAATGCCCAGAACATAACAGGTGCTCAAGAAAACTGTGGTGAATAAATGCTATTGTTGTATTTTTGATATGCACGTGGAACTCATACTTGCTTATTTTGATGCCTGTGTACAAAATAATGGGAAAGGTAGTTTCTCTTATTTGCCATAGATAGCATCATGAAAACCAATTTCTTTTTTTGAGGACATTCATGAAAAATATGAAAAATAGCAGCTTCTTTCCTTTTCTTCCTTCCTTCTTTCTTTTTTTTTTCTTTCTTTCCATGAAACTATGTATTTGGGGAAACTGATTAAGGATTTCTCCTCTGAAAGGTTTACACTGTTTTCTAGGTCTTTGGATTTTATTGAAGGCTCCCGAACTGAAGTGAATGCTTCATAATCAAACTGAACAGCAACTGAGCCCACCGGTGACAACTGTGTAGTAGGAAGCTGTAGAAATGTTCTGAGTAAATCATCCATTCATTTGGTAATGAGTGTACTAATGTTCAGAAATTCACCAATCTTCTAGGCAACCATGGTAATATGTCTGCTTTTTTCTCCCTTTTGAGCCCTACATTTCATAGCTAAACCATTGTCTCTGTGGAATGCTTCAAGAAAGCCCCTGATTATAATTACATATGAATGAAGAAAATTAGGAACTAGGAGGAGAGGACCTTTACACAGTGACATCTGCCTTGCCCCTATAGCAAGAAGGCTCCAAAGAAGGTTTTATCTTCTTTAGTGTAGTCCACTAAAGAGATGTCACTGACGTTCACCATCAGCTTGTCCCCTTCTTGCAAGGAGAACATGGCTCCTAGATAAATGGGTTGGAACCAGTTGCTACCTATTTCACACACTGTCTTGGTCCCCATTAGGAGCTGAGTGGGTTCGGGGTAGTTCTCCGTTACCTTGGTGATGACCACAATGATGATGTCTGGCTTGTTTGCTCGGCTCCCTTTGCTGATTTCACCACATTTGGATGTGATACCTCGGAATGTGATCTGGGAGTAAACAAAGTAGTCTCCCGACTCTGGGATCACCAGGAATTTATTGGTGTAGTTCATCCGGTTCTTGGTGAAGGCCAAGCCAAGTTCATGTTCCCAATCCAGAACTGGGAACTGATTATTCAAGGGCTGTGTGGACGTTTGTCTCACAACTGCAGAGACAAGAGAGAGGTTTAATTTGCTTGTGTTGGAACTCATGGACTTTGCAAAATATGTCTCATTATTATTTTTAAATTTATTTTTATTGTTGACAGTATTACAGATGTCCCCCATTTCCTCCCCTCTATCCCCCTCCACCTGGCCCCTGCCCCACCCCAGGCCTTCACTGCACTATTGTCTGTGTCCATGGATGATGCATATATGTATATAAGTTCTTTGGTTAATCTCTTCCCATCACCATCCCATCCCCATCCCCTCACCTCACCCCTGCCACCTGCCCTCTGAGATCTGTCAGTCTGTTCTTTGTTGCTCTCTTTTAACACTGTGGTCCAAAAACACATGAAACACGGATAGTAATTAATAAGAAATGTACAAGCAGGGAAAATATTGGAACCAGAAATCCAGGATATTTTGGAAATGCTTCTCCAATATTGACAGAGCCAAACTATAAGCCAATGTAATTGACTTGAGGAGTGGAAGGGATCAGGGCTCTGGGCTCTGTGGGCCCCATTCCAATCCAGACTCTACAACTCTAGGTTATTAATCAACCAGGTAGGTTCCTCCTCTCTGACTCTCAATTTCCTGTGTATGAATTGGAGATAAAGCTCCCTCATAGTCTTGTTCTGAAGGTCAAGTGAAGGAAAGAGACACAGACATTTTTATCTTGATGACTGGATACAGCATTATTCAATACATATTTATTTTCTTTCCCCAAATAAACTAGCATCTTTCATTTCGACATTTTAATTTATTTTTTAATCCTCACCCAAGGACATGTTTTGATTGATTTTTAGAGAGAGAGGAAGGGAGAGAGAGAGAGAGAGAGAGGGAGAGAGAGAGAGAGAGAGAGAGAGAGAGAGAGAGAGAGAGAGAGAAAGAAAAAGAAACATCAATCTGAGAGAATCAATCAATGACCGGGAATTGAACTTGGCACCTTTTGGTATATGGGATGATGCTCCAACCAACTGAGTCATCTGGCCTGGTCAAGCCTATTTCATTTTATATATTTTAATATGTTTTTATGTTTGCATTATTTATATGTATACATCATGTAGAACATATGAATGAATACTTTCATGCAGCATATACCTGTAGCAGAAAAAAATGAATAGAATCAAACAGATTTCAAATAGGATAATCGGCAATAAACTAATACTTTACAGTGAAAATAAAAACATATTTTAATTTCCTACAGCTACTTTTGAAACCCATAGTAATCACCATTATGTACTGTCAGCCACAGTTTTGGAACTAATTATGTTTAAAGAAGCACTTAGCAACCTTCACACCTGGTGGTTGACCAGAAACCTGGCTCCTGGATTTTCCTAAAACATCTTTCCCATTTCTGACTACACTATGGTTTCTTTTGCAACTGTGATACATGTTCAGAATGTGTGTAGTCTCCTCTGGCCCCTCTACTAAGTGGCCTCTGGAGAGTTCTGTTGCTTCTTTGCAAAATCTGTGCAAGGCATTTTTTATTAGCCACCTGTGATAGTCTCTACTCCTTCTTTGCAGTAGATTAAAAAAGAAAAAATTCCTCCCAAATGATACAAAAGCAAAAGTCATTTAGTCTCTAGATACAGCAAATTCTGTTAAATTGGCATGCAATTAGCTTTGTCAATATAGCAGCAAGTAGGAGTGTGGGTTGGAAGTATGTTGTATTGGAAACAGTGCAGTTCTGAGAGTCAGCGCATCCTAGTCATGTCACTTGGGATAAGTGAATTTAGTTGCCCAAGCCCCAGTTTCCCCATCTCATTGGGCTAACATGCAGATCAAATAAATCATAGATGTAAGATGCCTACTGTGGTGTCTGAAATGTATTAGAAATTCAGTAGAGCCTAGATTCCTTCACCAATTTCAACTCCCCCAGTCAATATGGCATCTCCATACTCAATTTTTAGGGTTTTCCTGGCCAGCCTTTTCAATCTCACCCATTCTTTATAAGTGAGTGGTAGGTGATGGCAACTTGGCATCTCCCTGATCCTAATCCTTGTTCAGGACTCCTCACAAATAGCTTCTTCTTGAACAGATGTCTTGGGCCCAAGGATATCCCCCTGTGGGTTGCATATTTTTCTTAGCGGTCAGGAGGCATTTTTTTTATGATTTCTTTTTAACTCTGGTTTTTCAATGTGTTTTTAACATCTTTCTGCACTGCTGTGCTCTTTTCTCTCGAGTCATAGAGTTATATACAATTCCAGGTGTGAGATGCCAGGAATTTCCACATAGACTTGCGGAACTGGCCATCTGGTGATATTATGAGATTGCTCTTAATCTATTCACATCAATGGGAATTCTTTGGAAATATCTTTCTGAGTGTAAATGTACAATAACTTCATTTTGCATAGGGCACAGATGGACTCGATATATTGGCAACTCAGGGTCATTCATCTTTGACCAGATTTAGAATTATGAGAGTTGTCAGAGTCTGAGGAAAACCAGTTTGGAATCACTGCATGAGTGAAAGAGAGAAACAGTAGAGAAAGGAAGAGGGCTGATAGAATCTGAAAGAAAATACCCAAGAAACATGGGCTTTTGGGTCCCTCAAGGAAGGAAGACATCTGAAAGCCCTTGACTGAGAGGAGGAGTCTGTTACTAAAGGGGTGTCATTTCTAGTTTGAAACCATTTGAATGAGTTTTGGTAAACGCTGAAAGAAATCTCAGGCCCATGGCCGCCTGGAAAGAACACCGAGGAGAATTACCTGTCAGGTGTGCCCTTGGCTTATCTCCACTAGCTCTGGGAGGTGCGTCTGTAAAGAAAGGAGAAAAATGCTTTGTATGAGTCAGAGGGTGACTGGAGTGAACACAACATTTGGGGAGTTGCATGATGCCTGCAACTGGAGAGAAATTATTCCTCTTCTCCAGCTTGGTCCAGTTCCCCTCTTTGGAAGTTTTTTTGTTGTTTTGTTTGTTTTTTGGTGTTTTTGTTTTTTGCAGTAACAGGGGAGACTCAGAAGAAAGTCTTAAGCATAAATGAATCTTGGCTTCATGACTTTGGACAAGTTATCTAATCTATCTCAGACTTTGTTTTATCATCTCTAAGATGGGCACATTAATTCCTACCATGGATGGAGAGTGTTCAGAATGATTCCTGGCATATGATGGATGGGTGCTCAATAAAGCTCACCTTGCCTCTTCTGTCCTCCTCCTGCTTCTGTGGGAGTGAATTGTTCTTTTGCCTTTTTCATGGTCCCTTTAACCATATCCACTGAGGTATCTAATGGCCTAAGAGAGTGGGGTGGAAACCACTCTGTAGCTGTATGACCTTGTCAGGTCCCTTTCCCTTTCTGGTCTTCTGTTTCTCTGTCAGCTAGCTCTCCAGAAGACCTCACTTTTTGGGGGTTTTAGAAATGATTATATTGGACAAGTTTGTTTTAACTGCAGTGGTAATGATAATATTATTGATGTTAAAAAGGAAAAATCAGTGTATCCTTTTGATGTGGTAGGCATTGTTCTACTATCTTTATGGGAATTAACTAATTTAATCTACACAAACCCTGCGGGTGGGTACTATCATAACCATTTTTATAGGTCAATAAAATGAGACAGAGATGGGTGAAATGATTTGCCCAAAGGCCATCAATCACAGGCCCTGCACTTAGCCACGGCATCATTTTGCCTTCTTAGTGGCTGGGGAGGCCCCTCACTTCTCCTCTGGGTTTGCATCCCTCTGAATCCCCTATATATTAAGAACTACTGGATATGTTCTTGTTCCCCACAAGAAAGGCATCAAATATGAATATACTTACAAGCTCGCTGATGTGAAGGTCCAAATTCCTGTGCTTTTGGAGTCTGTTGGGAAAGAAAGATATGGTTCAGACCATCTGTGGTCCTTCTGACCCCAACATCCACACAGCTGTCGAAAGCATGGGTGGGATTAAGATGCTGCTGCTACCCCTCCTAGGCACTCTGAGATGAGGGAAATGGGCAGAATATTTGGTCCATGGGAATCTTGCACCCAAGCTCCCCCCTTTTCTCCTCAAGTACTAATGACCTTTCTCTCTCTTATGCTTGTCTCAAAGGTCAACTTAAAGGTTCTGTCCTGAGAGTTTTTCCTGTTCTATTCTAGGGCACTCTAACATCTTGTCAATGGTTCTACTATTTTAACAAATAATGACACTTGATTCATTTTCTTTTTTACACCACAATTTGGAAATTGAAACTTTTTAAAAAAAAATGATACCAAAAAAGAAATAATCACTATGTTCTCCTTCTCCTTAGTCTCTTTCTTGTTTCCTTGTAATGCATGATGACTTTTTCTTTTTCACTAAATTTTTAAAAAAGTATATTTTATTGATTTCAGAGAGGAAGGAGAAGGAGAGAGAGACAGAAGCATCAATGAGAGAGAAACATTGATTGGTTGCCTCCTGCACATCCCACACTGGGGATCGAGCCCACAACCCTGGCATGTGCCCTGACCGGGAATCGAACCGTGACCTCTTGGTTCATAGGTTGACGCTCAACCACTGAGCCATACCGGCTGGGTCATGATGTCTTTTTCTTCATTGCAATCTCAGTTTGTGAGCCATTTCAGAATCCACACGGTAATGGGAGAAGAACTGCTTTGGAGGCAGACAGACCTGGACTTGGATCCCAATTCCACCATTTATTAACAATATATTATTGAGCAGGAGGACTCTTTTCTCCTCTGAGCTTTGTGGTCCTCATTTGTAAAATGGGAATATTAACACCCATAGTCCTAGATAACTCCCAGGTTTGAGATAAGGATCAACTCAGATGAGCAAAATAAACTAACAAAATAGAAACAGATTCATAGGTACAGAGAACAGACTGAGAGTGTCAGAGAGGAGTGAGGTTCGGAGCTGGGTGAAAAAGGTGAATGGATTAAGCAAAACAAACAAACAAACAAACAAAACAACAACAACAACAAAATCACCCACAAAAAAATCCCCTCAGACACAGACAACACTGGTGATTACCAAGGGAAATGGGGGTGTGGGGAAGTAGAAGAGGGTAAAGGGGAGATAAATGGTGACAGTAAGAAACTTGACTTGGGGTGGTAAACACACAATACAATGTACAGATGATGTGTTATAGAACTGTACACTTGAAATCTATCTCATTTTATTAACCAATGTCATCCCAATAAATTCAGTGCATTAAAAAAAAGAAAAGAAAATGTATTAGCGCAAAGAAGACATGGGAACGGAAGGAACTACCACTCACGTGCCAGAATAGAAAGCTCATGAACAAAACTAAGCTTTTTGCTTAGGAATAAGATTACCATCTTACATTTTACAATATTTCCAAAGAATCCTCTCTGATAGGATTTTGACTCAACCCAGGGCCTTCTGATTTGGTTTTCGTAATTGCTCAGTCCCCAACTGTAATCCTCATGGATACTTGATCAGTGTTAAATCTTAACATGCATACGTGGGTGTGAGTATACTCTTGTGAATGAGGAATTGTGTGTCTGTGTGAGTATGAGAGAAGATAGCTCCATTGGTGGGAAAGAGTTTTTGCACCTGTGTATCTAAAGTGTCTGTGGTGTGGTGGTCTGTGCATGGCTGTCTCTACATGCATATATGTGTGGCCATGTGGGAGTAGCCATGTTATTTCTGAGGCTAGGCCTGTGAACAGTTCTGTGATTCTGTTGGAACCCAGACTGTCAGGCTCTTTTTGCTTTCAAGCCACATGACCTAGCCTCTACTGGAAGCTCTCTTGAGGACAAAGATCTTGGCTTTGACAAATTGATTTCATGGTCACTCCCTTTTCTCTGTTTCCTAATTCTGTTAATGGTGCTACTACTGCTTTCCCTTAGTTATCAGGCCTAAAATTGGCTTCTTTCTTCTTCCATAAACCAAACTGTCATTTCTATTTTGCAGTTTTTCTCTTTCTTGAATCCATCCACATAAGGCCTCATCATACTGCTTGCCTGGATTCTTCCAAGAGCCTCCTACCAGATCTCTCCTGCATCCGTTTTATCCTTTTCCCTAACCCATCTCCTAGCCTGTCTTCAGAGGGCTTTTTCTAAAGCATCACATTATCTTGGAATTTAAAGTTCAAATTTACCATCCCAGTCCCAGAGGTGGGGGAATCGGGAAATTACCCCAGACCTGAGTCTTACAGGACCCACAGGTATTAGTCTGGTGGTAAAAGGTGATAACCATTCCAGACCAGGCCAACGGCTGTGCAAGAGTAAGGAGGCCCAACAACTCATGGGAGCAGTTGGGAAACTGCAAGTATTTCTGCCACCAGATGAACACATTAGATACATTTGCATAGGGTCATGAGTACAGTGGTCTTTGAAAACCTATGCCCATTGATGTGACTACTTGTCCCGCATCAGTGACTTTGATGGGGTTGGGAGGTGGAGAAGCAGCCTAGAAATGAGCTTATTTTGTAGCCCGTTTCCTTAGTTGCTATTGACAGAGCTGCTAAAGAATCAGTCCTTTGGCAAGGCAGAAAACTGAAGGTGGGGTTCTCAGAGAGAATGAGGGAGAGCTTGGTTGCATCTCCTTGTGCCTGGAATGGTACTTTCCCTGACTGGCCTTCTTCGACTCATTCATTCTGCTAAGAAATCTTCTCCAACATCTGCTAATTTTTGTCTAAGCAACACCCAGCTAAGAGTTTGGAGCATCCCTTTTGGCTCATAGAACCCTTGTCATTTACATGTATTTGGGATGTGAGCACATTTTTCTATTTTCTCTGATGGATTTCTATAACTTGGGAACACATTTTATTTTCATATATGGATGGATGTGTGTGCATTTTATTGGCCTCAGAATGCCACTACATGTCTGGAGGCTGTGATAGTGCCAGTTGGCAGGTGTGGAAGAACACAACATCCCCAGAGTCCCCAAGAAGAACAGCAGCTGGGATTCTTTTCCTGAGAACAGCACGGAAAGCCTCCCGTTGCTGTTTCTCTTAGTAATGACTCTCTCATGAGAGGAAGATTATTGCAACAGAAGCGAATGAAGAGGAGATTTGAGAGAAGAAATAGTAGTTTATTTGGGGAAAGGTTTGTGCATTTGAGTTGGTTGGCTCAATGCCTGGTCTCCAGATGGTTGTTGGTGACACCAGGCCAATAAAATGTCTATTGTTGCCCAAACCTGACTCATCTCCATTGCTTTTGGGTTCCCCTGGGGAACCCAGGAGATGGTGACTCCCGAAGGTCAGTGCAACATTGACTTCCAAATCTGTATAGACACAGTATTCAAGAGCACCCCAGGAGAATGTGATTTATTTCCCGTTCAAGGCCTTCACAAACCACTGGCTAGGAACCAGGATCCCATCTTAGTTCCCTTCCTTTCTCATTTATCACTCTCTAGGGATATTATTACTTATTTGACTGTTACTGCTTTTCTCTCTCCAGTAGAAGTCAAGTTGCTTGCAGACAAGGACCCGGTCTGTCTGTCTTGGTTACCACTATATTCCTGGTGCCTCGGACAGTGCCTGGCACTCTCACTGGATTATCCATGTTAGGAAAATATGCTGGTGCTTGGGCATCAAAAAGACAAGCAGAAAAGAGAGCAGAGGATGGAGGAAGGCTCAGCTTTAGTGACTTCAGCCAAAAAACTAGGAAAGAGAACTTTTTATTTTAGAATGCATGCAAAGTTTTGAATTTTTGTTTACATTTAAAAACTTTAATTATGTAGCAGTAGGTAGCCAAAATCTTTCAGGACTGGGGCCTCTTATGTGCTTTCATCAGGCTCTGCTTGGTGTATAGCCATGGCTCTAGAAATGTTTGTTGAAAGTTGGGAGCTTTGGTCAGAGTCAGAGCCAGGAAAGGCCAGTATGTCCAGTGTGTATGCCCATGGGCACACATGTTAATGAGGTAGGGGAAGCCTGCCACCACCACCATTTATTAGCCTTGGCAAAGTACGCGGGCTTTTCACCCCATAGTTTCCATAGGTCGGGGAATTTTATTTGGTTTTCTTTCTTTGTTTCTTCTAAAAAAAAATGTTTGTTTTGGTATGTTGATTGGTAATCTCTAACTCAAATTAATCATGACCTATTACTATAGGCATTTTTGGGACTACTCTAATCCTTCAAATACGAGAGGAGAAGGATAGAGGAAAGGAGGAAACTGCTCTCTAGCTGAGTGATTAATGAGTGCCAGGCCCCATGTTGGGCATTTATGTTTGTTCCTCATCTAATACTCCAGCTGCTCTCAAGGGAGTGTATCACCTTTAAAAATGTTTTTATTGATTTCAGAGAGAGGAAGGGAGAGGGAGGGAGAGGAGAGAGAGAGAGAGAGAGAGAGAGAGAGAGAGAGAGCGCAATAATGTGAGAGAGAATCATCGATCAGCTGCCCCCTGCATGCCCCCTATTGGTGATCGAGCTCGCAACCTGGGCATATGTTCTGACAGGGAATTGAACCTGGACCTTCTGGTTCATGGATTGATGCTCAACCACTGAGCAACACCAGCCAGGCTGTATCACCTTTTTATAGCCTTTGAAGCCAAAGGTCAAAGAATAAGTGGAGGGTCTGGTATCTGGACCTTTAGACCAAGTACAGACCCTGGCACATATCAGGAGCCCCACAAACCTTAGTTGAGCACACACAATGGAAGATCGAATCTGAAGCAAGATGGCCTTTGAGATGATCTTGGCATTTACCGGAAAAATCCCTTGAGTATATTTTAACTAATTACCTCTTTGGCCTTTCTCCCAGGTTTTGTAGTCAGTATATAGTATACTCAAAAATGGAAGAGCTATCCATTGCATATTTTGTAGTCACTGTATAGTTTACTTAAAAACGGAAGAGATATCCATTGCTTGCCCTCATAAATGCTGCAGGTGGAAAGGTCTAAGTGTTTTATGACCCA